ACAATACCTGCCCTTTTTCATTTCTCAGTTTGCTGTTCTCTGGAAGGAGAGGAGGAGAACATTTGACCCAATACTAAAAACAAGCTTCACATTGACCAAAACCATATTGTTATTTTTAAATCAGTTCATATTAGGGAGGTGCTCTACAGAAAAGCACATGAGAAATGAAAACACTCTATCTTCAGAAAAATATTTAAGTACCATGTAGTATGTGAGGCTTAGAGCTTCTGAACAGCAGAAAAGAAAATGCATAGTTGCTTATTAACAGAGGATTAACATTATGTTAGAGTCTCTCTAACATAATGAATGAGGCTAGGTTCCTACATAGTATCACTCACTGTACTTTCATAAAAGAGCTTAAAAGCAACTTTAATTGTGGAAATTCCTAAGTCTCAGTTACTTCCATTGTCAATCAACATATTCTCTTAGAAGCCTGTGCATGTATTTAATACACTAATTGAGTAACAGCTTTGTGCAGACCCTTCACGAGCAAGACAGCAGTTTCCTTTCTGTATGGGAGTTTTATCCAAATTAGAACTATGTCAGCATTTAATGATACAGGAGATGGGCTCCCCAGCCTTCTCTGGAATAAGATAAATGAAAATATTTTGGCTAGGAAACAGTCCCTCGCAAGCAGAACTTTTCTAAGAAGCTCCAGCAGTTTCTCATACTGAAGCATTGTATTTGACAACATCAGAGACCCCAGCCTCAAAAAAAGCTCTGATTTTTGTTACCAAATCAAATGAAGCTTGTCAATAAAGAGATTCCCCTCCTGCTCAAAAGCAAGACTTCTGTGCAAACTTTAGGCAGTAACTACAGGGACACTGTAAACTGAAATTCCAGGTAGGAGCTCTTTAGTGGTTTCTCAAAGTACAGAAAGATAAAGTGACATACACTTTAAAGCCTGCTCTCCACGCAGTGCCACCTCTTGCTACATGGTCCCATCCCCTTTAAGACACCTCTGACCACTCACTGAGCCAGTTTCACTCAATCATCTGGAGGAAAATTATGACCCTTCCCCACCCCCACAGTTATTTCAGTTTTCTCCTAGAATAACAAAGTCAGCCTGCTCACCAAAAGGTCAGACAAGTGTCACGTCAGCACAAGTATCTGGAGCGTGATGCTCCTACAGCACAAACTAACACCTTGCTGTTGCCTGACTCTCAGCAGCAACCTTCAAAAGACTGAATGTTAAAATTGCACAATTTCCTCTCAAAAGCAAATGGGTCTTCTTCTCCTCTAAAACAAAACAAAATCAGGTTTGCCAAATGCTTATTAGCATTAGCTTCCTATGTGTATAGAAACATACTTAAAATTAAATGCAATTAGCTGGAAATACAAGGAAAAGGTAAGTCCACATGACTAGCTTGCTCTACGGACAAATCTCTGATTTTTCTCAATTAAAAATAGTTTTAATTAATTAATGTTATATATTTAATTAAAATGTAAAAACAGAAGAGATCATATATTTCTTGCTCCCTTTGTGCATTTAAATACAGCATTTGTGGCACTTAATCATATTTCCATCTCTGAGATGTACAGAAAGAGAAAGTTATGTGAAAACAGATACCAGTTTCTGAAACGATGCAAGACCAGTGCAAAGAAGCAAGAGGAATTGAAAATCATAAAATTTATCTTCTCAATCCCTGTACTCACAGAGGCGAAAGTCTCATGATGCTGTCAAAACACTCACTTCCCACCACTTTCTCCCAAGCATATGACCCAAGTGACAGTTCCTGTGGCATCCTCTGATCTTCTGCCATGAAGTGACCAAACTGTGCCCCGTAATCTTCAAAGTGCTAAAGCCTGATCTCGCTGATTTCTCTAAACAACAACAAAAAGTCCTACTCTGCCCTGTCATTCTCACCTCTATACGCGCTTCTACACACTCTTGGGCACGTGTAAGCTCATTTTCACAGCAAGCAGAATCTCCCCTTTATCCACCTCCTCGCTCGCACCAACCACTTCACACGGAGTCTGAAGGAGGACAAACCCCGGCGTCTCGGGCAGCTGCCCGGACACGGGATGTTGTCCGGGAGGGCAAACTCCACGGCACCCTCCGCCCCCGGCGTGCCCCTGTGCCCCCTGTGCCTCCACAGCACCGGCTCCCTCTCGAGTCCCCCCGGTCGTACCTCGCCGGGGCGAAGCTCTCCCGCCGCCACCTCCCCCTGGGGAGCAAAAAAGAGTTTGGGTTTTTTTGTGGTTTGTTTTTTTTTTCTTTTTTTTCAAAAACGCGGCTCCTCTCTCGCCCTTTGTTGCCTCGGGAGGGGCAGGTTCGGGGAGTGGGGCCACACGCCGGGGGGGGAGACCAGCGACGGGGGCTGCCCCTCGCAGCAGCAGAGCCCCGGAGGGTTGGTCTGGCGAGCCCCCGGGCAGCGGGGCTCGCCCGCCCGCTCTGCACCCACCTTTCTGCGCCCCGGTGCCTCGCAGCAGCAGCAGCAGGAGGAGGAGGAGGAGGCTGGGGCGGAGCAGCGAGGCCGCCCGGCGGGTCCCCGCGGGGAGCGGCCGCCCCGTGCTCACCATGCCCCGCGGCGTGGGCAGCGCGGCCGGCGCTCCGAGGGCATCGCGGGCTGCGGGGCGGCCGCGCCGGGCCGCGTCTCTGCCCTGCCCTGCCCTGCGCGCCCGCCAGCCCGCGGCCGCCCAACCGCTTCCGGGGGCGCGGCGGGGCCGCCCCGCTTCCTGCCGCCCCCCCGCCGCCCCGCACGGCCGGCCCCGGGCGCCGCGGGAGCCCCGGGGACCGGCGGCGCCTCCGCCCGCGGCCCCGCCGAGCGAGGGGCCCCCGAGCCGCGCCCTCCCGGGCGGCCTGCGCGGGGTTCACGGCCCCAAACTCCCTGGGAGTCAGCCCCTGAATTCCCGCCTCATTCCGCCTCCGTCCTCCTTTACGAGTTGGCTGATAGTAATCCGATTTTTCTCCCAAAGCAGAGATTAAGTGAGGCAAAATTGCTGGGAAAAAAACCAAACAAAACTCCTTGGAAACACGAATATTGCTGTTGTTAAGAGAAGAGGATAATCTGGTGTCACAGATCTCCACACGCAAATGTGAATTCAGCTTGGCTGCAAGGTCCCAAGCCATTGCAGTTGGAGTCCTCTAGCTTTTGAACACATAACATGTGTAATCAGCCTTGCCTTAGCAGGCTGAATTCAACCATGGGGAATAAACACTTAAAAGAAAAAAAAAAAAAGTAACTTTCAGTCACAAGAAGGCAAAATAGCAAATTTGCACAGATTTACGATAATAGTACTGAATTAGTACCCCTATGTTGTCAAGCATATTTGGGAGGAAAAAGAGCACCCTAAGCACTGGTAGCATCAGTCACCCTTGTAGTACCACCACCATCATGCAGCGGAACAGCTTGTTACATGGTTTTCAGTAGTAGATGAAAAGAATGTAATTTTCAGGTGCTGATGAAATGTTGCCATGTCCGTGCTTCCACAGCTGCAGTCACAGCCGAGATTCCTCCCAGCAGCGAGGTCAGAGGGCAAAGAGGAAGGGTGGGAGCCACACCTACACAGATATCATTTTTCAGCTTCATGATTCAAACATACTCAGCACTCCACTGACCACACTCTCTCTCACCACAAAGGAGAAGGGACTTTGGACTCCACAGGTTCCAAAGATCAGCCTTTCAGCTATTACAGGCCCCATGGTCCATCCTTTCTGCTGTGGAAGCGCTGGATACCTTGATGGTATCCAGGTGCAACAGTTCCACTGTAAAAAGTGTCTTAAGGAAGAAATCATTCCCCACTTCTCTCAAACAGCTCTAAGACGCTGATACTGCTTTTCTGGCCAGGGTAGTCTAGCGCAGGCTCCACCAAAATGTCAGAAAAACCATTTGAGGATGGTTCATGTTTATGCCAATCCACAGAGTTACTTGGAGAACTATTTAGATTAGGTTTTAACATTACTGTTCCTTGTTAAGATGCTGAAAACTGATCTCTGTCCAAGTCTATGCTTAGGGCTTAAAAAGGGCTTCTTTTTTTTTTTTCCCCACAAAGAAACATGTAGGGCATTATCTCTCCTTCCTCGAGCATATCAACCATACCACTTGTGCCAAATCATGGGAGAATCCAGAACAGATTTTGTTGCTCAGACTAAAGACAGCAAAATTTTGATGAACATTTTTTTACTTGTTTGGCACATACTTGTGCCATAGCTGCCAAGAGGTGGAGTCTCATATATTTAGGGAATGATAAACGTGAGGATTTTAGAACATTTCATATTTTCCCCCTTTTGAAACCTTTTTAGTGATACAGGAAGAGACCCCTATGAAAGCGAAGTCAATGGAAGGATATCACAGATGAGGCTGGTTTAAGTCAGCTTGTAAGATGTAACAGTCAACAAGACATTGGGCAACACGTAATGGAAGATGAATCAAAAATAATTTATATGTGTCCCTTTGTCTTCCATTCACCAAACACAGAAGTTCATGCCATAGGTCACGTGAAAGAGTTATATCACTACAATAATATCCTTTCTATACTACAGAGAGCACATTCCTAAAATCACTAATCATTAGTGGTATTTGTTGTGTACTGGAAAAATCACTCCTTGAATAATTTGTGGCTTAGTAGTGTTGTGCATTAACAGGAACATCTGAACATCCTACACATAACTCAACAACAGTCTCTGGTGAACCTGATAGAGGTTTCCTCCTGTCTTATGTTGTGTTGTGAAGGTGTTTTGTTGGCTTGATTTGAGTATTCTAAATGTTTTGATTTGTTCATGTAAAAAAGGAGTATCTGAATCTGTGAGAAGGTTGATTTTTAAATGGGATGTGAAAACTTGTAGAATTCCTAAGAGCAGCCAGAGGCAGAATTTGCTTAATCTATCTTCGAAATTTGTCCCAAAACCACATTCCTTGACCAGAAATGGTTTTTGTGGAGCCCTCGGTTGCATATTTTGCACAGGGAACACCATCCTGACAACAGCAGTGACGAACTATTAGAGGTTATACACCCTAAAAGCCTTAAAGATTCATAGAATCTACAGAGCCAAAGAATTAGCAATGCAACTGCTCAGAAGAGTTGTCTTAATACATGGTTTTCATTCAACAAAACAATCTGAAGAACTATACAAATCCAGATGGTCACCCTGGCTTCAAGAATCTTCCTTCTTCTCAGAAGATTTCAGCACAAGATGAGTTTAGGTACACCAGCGGCAGAGTACTGCACATTTTGGTCTATGAGAGTTCCCAGGCATCTCCTCAGGGGGAAACAGAACTGTGTAATAAAGATTCCATTTTAGTTTGTGACTTAGAACTGTCCCTGTCATCAAATCAAAACAGATACAGAATTAAAATGCTGTGGGAAGCAAATACAAATATAATAACATATGATACCAATCTCATAAGGCAAGTTGCCAACACGTATTAAGACATCAGCACAAATACTGTTTTTCAAGATAATGAGACAGAAGACCAAACCATCTTCTTACTGCTGATAGGAGAATGTTTTGCCAACTAAGCATTTCTGTAATATTTCCTTCCCATTGTGAGTAACTTCTAGAGGTAACTGAAACTATCATCTCCATCTGGTTCTCTCATTTTCCCTTGAGAAGCTTATGAGCAATTGGGCTTCTTTCCCACCACAGCTCTTTAGGTTTTTACATTCTTTCATTACATTTCGAAAGCTGAATTCAGCTGGAGGGCAGGGCTGCTATTCAGAGGGAGGTCCACAAAAGCAATCCCAAGGTCCTGCATCTGCAGGGAAGCAATAGCCCCATGCAACAGTACAGGCTGGGAGCTGTTTGGAAGCAACTCTGCACAATTAAACTTGGATGTCCTAGTGGACAATTCAAATATGAGTCAGCAGTGTGCCCTCGCAGCAAAGGCAGCCAAGAGCGTCTTGAACTGTATTAACAAGCGGGCCAGGGAAGTGATCTTTCATGAGACTTCATCTGAGTATTGTGACCAGTTTTGGGCTCCCTCGAGTACAGAACGATATTGACACATGGGACAGAGTCAATCAAAAGGCCTCCAAAACAGCCAGAGGTTGCAGAACAAAGTGCACATGAAGATGCTGAGACAGCTGGAATATTTTCATCTTGGAGAAGAGAATGCTAAAAGGAGATATTGTTGCTGCTTACAACTTCCTGACTGCAGGACAGGACTGGAAAATGGAACTAGCCTCTTCTCAGAGGTGCACGATGATGGCACAAGAGCCAACAGACACAAGTTGCAACATGGTAAATTCCATATTCTAGATAAAAGGGGGAAAAAATACCATGAGAATGGTCAAACGCGGGGGTTGCTCAAAGCAGTTGTAGAATCTCCATATTTGGAGATGTTCAGGACTCCCCTGGCCATGGCCCTGATTAACTTGATCTGATTGGACCTGTCTGAGGAAGGAGTTGAACTAGATAACCCCTGAAGGTCCATTCTGACCTCACTTATGACTATAGGATTCTAAGGCAATATGTAATGTACTATGGAGGAAATTCCCGTAGTTCTAAATAAGCAAAGGTGATGTTCTAAATAAGCAAAAGAGATTTCAACTTTCCAGTTTCTGTAGTTACTTATCTGTGTTCTCTAATTGAAATAAGAACTTACTCTGAAAAGGTTGATTCTTCTGAACTCAAAGAAAAGGAATAATGCATTTAAAGGAGACAAATTATTGACTTCCTTCATGGTATTAACACATTAGATCTTTGCTAGCACCTCCATTTTCTTATCCCTTGAATCTTGATACGTAACACATGGTCTAGATTTTTTCTGTGACAGAATTCAAAGGCCCAGCCAGCCAGCTAGTACCAGTGCTGTATGTGCATCTAAGGGACATATGTCTCCTTTCTGATGTCAGCAGACACCTGAAGGTTATTACTAGCACTGTTACCACACATTCACTTGTGAGCAAGTCCAGATCTATATTCAGGTTCACAGTTTCTCTCTGCAATTCACTGAATTATTAGATAATTCAGTGAATTCTTTTTCCAGAAAACAAATTTCACTGCTTATGGTAGAATTCCAGCCAAGAGAATCTATCTGCTAGCAATCTGCTTAATTAGCATATTCTTAGGGTTGTTTAGATTACAGCTACAGTGGCAGTATAGTCAAATTTGGCCGATAAATTAAGAGGTCTTAATGCCAGGAAAACAAGAGCCAAATGCCTCACTATGGCACATTAACTCTGTGCTTTCCAAAATGTCCAGTAGGTTAGGTCTTGCAATTTGCTCAGATGTCATGCTTAGGTACGCAAATAATGTTAAGCATATAATACTCAGAACTAAACTAACTGCAGAATTTTCTTTAGCCAAAATGTTTTCTAGCAGTAACATGGTTTCATTTCAGAATGAGGGACCTGAATAAGGTCATCTGCTCTATTTTAGTTCCTCCTATGTTCTTGTGAAGCTGTGTTGGTTTAAATGCTCTTGGACTCAGTGAACTATCCATCAGATATACTGAACATGCAAACTTCTTCACTATAATACAGGGATGTCTTGATGCCACTCTAAAAGGATCATTTAATATTAAACGAAATCTTTAAGTCCTGTGGGTAGGTAGCTGTTTTACCTGAGAGTAGATAGATCCAGTGTCCTGCCCATGAACCCAGCTCAGCAGGTGTGTTTAAAATATGCCATGGAAAAAATATGCCATCTCTAAATTTGTCCAGACTTCAGAGTATTTAAAGGGATTACTCACTGAAATACAGCTTTATAATATAACAGCTACAACAACACTCGAACAAACCCCCAACCCTTTTCTTATTATTTTTAATTATTAAAAGTATTTCAATTAAACAGAAATTGTTATTGAAAAAGTTATAGTTCTTCCTTCGGCTTCTTGGAAAACACCTTTTAATAAATGGTTCCATAGTATTTTAAATTAAAAATCTAAAGAAAATACATGAAAAATCGTGAGTAATTTAAGCTATCGTTAGTTCTCGAGAATAGAAACACCTCTGGAACTTCAGGAGTTTACACGGTGTTTCAAATGTAATTGTAGTAACTGTTGTTACTGCTAACCTACAGCCAAGCTGAATGGTTGGTGTCTGATCTTGCAAACACTTCAGAATCCTGCAGCTTGCTCTGTGGCATGAGCTAAATGTGTACTACTAAAAGACTGCAGGAGCTGGACCTTAAGATGTATCTTTTGTTGCTCTTGGCTACTCTTTTTCATCTCATTTGGGAATTCTGGTTTTTGTAATAGCTTTCAGTAAAAATCCTTCTACTCCTCCTCTCTTTGTTTTCATTTTTTTCTTTGTTCCAGTTTTAATTGCCTACTATGCTGATTTTCTTTTTTAAGAATAACAACGAAGTCCTAGTTGCAGATGGATTTTAATTCATTATTTTAGAAAGGAAAATGGGTATTGATTGTATATTATTCACATCAATGGGTGTAGTTAGTCTTGTCCTCAGAAACACATTTACAAAACCATCATGATATATTGACCTAAGATAAATTTTTAATTCACTTCAGATACAAGCCTCATGACTGTAAATAAAGCACACTTATTTGACACTCCAGAGTTATTTGGTTGCTGAGTGGTTTCTGTTTTTAAAAGAGAATAAACATTTAACATTTATTTCTGGGTTATTTTGGTAAGAAAATCTGTTAATTTTACTTGTTAAAGTCATTATCAGGAGGAAATGTTAGCATAAATTCCAAGAGCAATTTTCTTTTACAGCATTGTATATGTGAAACAATTCATGGATGCTGGGGAAAAAATTAGGCTATTTTTTGCTTATTTAAACAGGGCAAAATAAAGAAGGAAAATATTAGGGAGGATCTCATATACTGTCTTCTACCTTTGAACAAGTTCATGTTTATTGGACCAATGCCCAGTACTACTAAGATCCTTCAAGTAAAAACTGTTAGAAAAACATTAAAGACGAATTGTATCTTGTAAGTGTGGGCTTGGTACACTTAAATAAAAGCAGTATTTGGAAGTATTGAGCAATCTAAATTCCCAGGATGCAGTGAATCCTACGGCTCAGTGAAAGCTGAAGGAGGAGACTATGATTACTATAGGATTAATTAAGCACATAAACACAGGCAAAATTTTAATCATGGCTTTACCTTCTGTTGGAATACAGACTTAAGTCTGTATCTATTTTGATGCATCAGGAATCATGAGTCTGCTCCTTCAATTATTTCCATACATTTTATCTCTGCTTTATGGTTAATGTATTGTTCTTTGCCTTCTCTTCAAAATTTTGCATTTTTGTCAGGATTTTAGTTTTCTCTTTTAGCTTTTCTTCTTTTATGCAAAGCCCAAGTTGAAACAACCTGTCATGACATGCACCTCCTCCAAATTCTGTATCTTGCCTATAATGTTCTAGACATCTTCTCTGCCTGCACCCTTATTTGTTCTTGCCTCTGAATTACTTTAGTCACTGTATCAGGTTAAATTATGATTTGATTTACACTGATTTCTGCTTCCAATCTAATTGACCAGTGCTAACTAGAAAAATTTTAGATGAAGCTCTTTTTACATGCTTGTGTAGACCAGATCATATTTATGAAATTAGGAAAATAATTAATAGCACCCTTTCTTTTGTCCTTACGAAGGTGAAAGAGAGGAATTAAGTGTCACATATTTCAGGCCTCTCTATCCATCTAAAGATAAATACTATGTCCACACATCAATGTCAGAGAACAACTTAATGTTTAAGTTCTAATGTATTTGTACCTAATGCTGTCTACAGGGGAGCCTCAGATGTAAACAGACCCTTGAGGGGAGATTATGATATTACAACCTGGGATTTGTGAAGACAGTGTCTGGAAGCTAAGATCCAAAAGGAAGAACTTCAAACAAATCTTCTGTTTCAGAAATAGATGCAGATGAGATTGGTAATTTCCTTAGTAAATAAATTAATTTATTTCAAGTGTTTATACTTTGTTCTTAAAACTGTTAATCAGGGTATGAACATGCTGATACCAGCTCTTTCTCCTCCAGATAATGAAATTGGAAACAAGCCTGAATTTTTTTCCTGATTGAATGTAGTCCCAGCAAAGCAAACTGAGCTGAGTTGAGCTGCAACCACATTAGTGATGAGTAAAATGAATTGTAGTGAAAAGAGAAGAACTGAAATGTAGAAATATATTCTAGAAATACCAGATTAATGATAAAAAGCTGGATACTTTTTGTACAGGTTTAAGTAATGTGCTGCTGATGGACAGCCCTAACTGGTGCTGATGAAATTCAGAGGTAGAACTGAAGGCAAAAATTACTCAACTTCAAGAAAATTGGTGTAGCATTTAATTGACATAGCAGAGAATTATAATTTTAAATGGAAGGAAGCCTGAAAATATTAAAAGCTTTAAAAGAAATATTACACTTTGCTAATACATACATGAAAATGAGAGCATATAATCAAATTTAAAGAAGAAATAGGGCTATTCTATATGAAAGTCAAGCTTTATGAAGAGTTTCAAGAATCAAAATACAAACTAAAAAAAAAAGAGAGAGACATAAAAGATGTTACAAAACAGTAAGTTTCTGGCCCTTATGGTTGTTGAAATAATTTTAAAAGATGGCCCAAATCAACCAGAACACAAAAAATAGAAGAAAGACTTGCACTCCCTGACCCCACATCTTTGTAAAACAGCATTTTCAGCCCTAGCAGTTTTTTTGAACTTTGTGACTGGCAATACTCAGTTCCCTAACCCCTTTCCATTTTCAGACATATGAGGCACAAATGACATACACTCCTGTTGAAGTGCAACACCACAGCTTCTCTGCTGACACATGCCCCAGTATTCCTCAGACAAGACTTCTGAGAAAGATGTGAGTTGCTGGATGAATTGCAATCTTAGCAGTGCCAGTCTCTCCTGTGAATGAGATACGAGTTATACAAATGTTAGTGTAACTGATTTGGAGAGACTCCTGAAGAATTTGGACAGTCAGTTGCAGCAGACGGGAAGGAAAAGGTTCACTAAATCATATCTTATGGGCAAACTTAAAGGGAAAGAATTACCATATTGAACATTAGGAGGTTAGAGCACTAACTGACAGGGTTACTGAGACAAGGCACAGCAACACAGATGTGCCATTTTCCTGGGAAGTACTGGAATGAGTGTGTATGTCCAGTAGTTCTTTTAAATGAGAGAGAGGCATGGCAGCCTAGCCTGCTCTAGCAAAAATAAAAGGTAGGGAATCCTTGTTAAAAAGGTTGAGCAGGAGCGTAGTCTGTACTTTTCAGTTTATTTCTAAATATTAGGGATAAATCCTACAGCTGCTTCCTGAGAAGGAAAATAGTTTCTTTCCAGAGAAACTGGAAATATATTTTAAGCAGAATGGATCAGTGAGATGTTGCAGATCAGAAGGGTCTTTTCATTAGGTTTGGTGGCCACTAAGTACACGATTATATCTCAGTGTAAGCAGAAATCTTCCTGTTGGGAGTCCAGTCCAAGAGGGTGTCAAAAGTGGCCATGGCTTTGGTGGCAAGTTATATACTGAGGTATGAGGTCCAGTCTCTTAAACAATTTTACAGCAATGGGAGAAAGGAGGTAAACTAAAAGAAGCACTTCTTTCACCAAGACCATGAAAACCTCCTGTAGCCTCTCATGCAAGTTGTCACAATGAGAACCAATCAGTACACTGATGTTTTTATTTTGTCACCTCAGGTATCCCTAGGCAGCACTAGCCCCTTCATTTTTATGCCAGTGTGCAGAGTGTTCTCTTGGATGTATTTTATGTTTCAGTAGTGATTTACATTCACCAAAATGAAGGCCAGATGATCACCTCTGTTATGCAAATGAATGCAGGGGGACAGCAAGGGAGTCAGTAACTTGAAGTGGTAAGAAGGGGCAGCTGTCATTCTGTTCAGGGGGCTTTTTCTCTCTATTCATTGACCTTTCAGTAGCTTTCTTGCTTGCAAATTCTCATTCAAGGGGAAGGGTGCAGTCAACTGGAAGGCAATTTCGGTTAGAAACCACTTTATGTCACAACTGAGACTCAGCTTACACAGGGAAAGATACACAGGATATTAAAGGTGTTCAATAAGTAAAAGCCTTGTTACTTTTAGTGCATATAAACTCTCAACACTTTAAAGCAACAGGCTTACAACGTATTGGTTATTAAGACAGAGAAAGACTTATTTTAATAACATGCAAGTAGCTAGGGTATCTATGCTTAGGGAAAGAAATATAAACAATCTACATGTAATTATCGGGAAATATACTTAATACAGACTATAGTTATGTTTGTCTTTTTAGAGATGTGAATGAAATATTGAATTAAATATTAATCATGCCCTTCAAAAGCAGACAGTGAACTGTGGACCTCCAGAGCTGAATCCATTCTCTTCAGCTTAAGCTAAATAACCAAGCTCCTAGGAACCTGTGGGACAAGAACAGTTATAAAGGAAGAGGTTTTCCAGACCAGCAGAATTGTGTCAATATAATTGTATCATTCTAACTGAAGTAGTTTACATAAAAATGATAATATAATACTTCTGGTATTTAAATATTACAAATACTAAAAATTATTTTATAAAACCTCTTTTTAAGGCTTAATACTGGGTATTAATAGAGATTCAGTTGGGATCCAGGCCTTAAGCCTTACAGATGGCTATAAGACCTGATAAAATTGTGAATATTCATATTTTGAATCCACTGAAATAGATTAAGTTTTACCTGTATGGGATTAATGTGTATGTTTTTGATTTTCTTTCTTCTTTCTGGCTAGGATGGAGAAAGAATTTGGAGGGAAAAAAAGCAACACCCCACATGGGAATTAACAAATTGATATAATAACAATTGTACATATGTACATATAAAACTAATACATTCGTTAATTAAATAAAATTAATAATTCCATTGGATTTTCAGAAGGTAGAAAGGTAATAATTCTATTTCTCTCAGTGAGAGTAGAATATTCAAAATCTTTGTCCCAGGGCAACAGATAATGTAAGCTTACAGCCTCCATTTTGTAAATTATGTGACAAGAGCCCAAAAACTCTGGTTCTGAATACTTCCTGAGCTTTGGGAAATCTGACTCGAAATTTGTGGCAAAGTCTTATTTCTGAAATTTATATCAATGCACTTGATTCTCTTCTACTAGCTGTAGTCCTACTTCAGTGGGTTAATTTCTGAAGTTCCCTTCTCATTCTGTATTGAGCATGAAGTTTGTGGTTTCCATTTCATACCTAAAGAGGGATTTGTGTGCCTGAAACATTCTTTTTTTACATCCCATTGGCTTGATGAAAAGACATTAGGTCTCCCTACAGGCCTTGCCTGCATGCCTCCTGAGAGAAAAAATGCAAGCTATAATGAGAGCAACTCACAACTGATTCAACCTGGAAGCCCTCACAGAAAAAAATACCCTTACAGTCATCAGACATTTCGCCTAGTCTGACATGTCAGGTTTTGGCCCTGTACTTCTAATAGAAAGCCCCTCCCAGAATAACTGAATCAAAATATCTAAAATTAATCAATATCATATTTATGTATAAAACAGACTAAGGGACGTTATTTGACCTTTTGGTAACTGACCTGCTAACAAAAGCAAGGTCTCACAGGATTTACCTCTTCATGCTCAGCGCGAGGCAACAAGCCAGTATAACATCTGCTCAGTACGCATTGCAAAGCAAATGAACAATGCTGACACCGTTAATCAGCTTGTCCAAGTGAATAAAATGTCAAAACCTGATGTAAGAAAGCTTGGCTTTAAAAGCAAACATTTCATGTGGATCTGCATGGGTCTAATGATGGATTAGTTAACCCTGGAAGATGAAGAATGACTCCAGCCTAATGTTTGAGGGGGAATTGCATCTAAATCTGACAACGTACAAAGAAAGACTGTAAAGAAATTAGAGATATGGGAACTACCTTTACAAAAATCAATCACCTGCCATTGGTGCCTCAAACTTCAGTGTGTGATATTAAACAGAATTAATAAAACACACCTTGAGTCCTACCAGGTTGCAAGCTGTGCATTAAAAGTAAGTTTTTTCATTCACACAACTGTTAAACTGCAGGTAGCATTTCTTCCTTCCCCTCTGCTGAGCCATGGGCAGGAACAGTACCTCAAAGGGAAAAAATACACAGAATTTATTTCAGTGAAATAGATGCAAAGCAGTGCAGCAGTACTTTAAATCTCGGGTTAAATTACGAGTGAAAACTCAGGAACAGTCAGTAAAGGGTGCTGATACTTCCTTATTTAATGAGGAGTAGAACATCTGTTGGGGAAAGAGAAGGTAGGGAACACAGACACATAGAAGCTACAGCTGGAAAAAATCTCTGCTAGCCAGCTTAAAAATGCAGGACCTATTCTATTGCTTTGTCAAATCCGCTTTTGAAACTACAAGGCTTTTCTGCTTCCAAGATTCCCTTTGGAAGATGTCTCTGGACTGTAGTGTATTTTGGTCTCAGAATATTTTTTCCTGATATCTTTTTTTTTAATAACCTGAATTTCTTCCCATAATAACTAGCACACCCTTTTGTAATAAAACAAAAATTCACCTCCCTTGGTAGCTTTCACTGCCTTTCTTTTAGAGTCTGATTGTCTTATATCTTCTCAGAATATCACACCCTAAGCTTCCCGTTTGGAAATTATCAGGACAGGAGGCCAACGCTGGCACATCACCAGCGGGACAGGCAGCCCCGCAGCGCAGGCCCAGGCCCTGCCAAGGGGCCGGTCGCGGTGCCCGCACCGCCACGAACGGGCTTCGCTCCGTCCTCGGGAACAAGGGCTGAGGGGCAAGGGACACAGGCTGTGACACACCCCGACTACGGGGGGTCACTGTGGCCAGGGGCCGTCATCAGGCACCAAAGGTGCCAAGGGAAAAAGCCCTACCCTGCTGACAGTTTTGGCTGGGGGTTGGGAGAGCTCCTTTTCCGCCTGCGGGTGCGGAGACGGGGACTCTCACCCTCCTTACAGGGCAGTTGCCCCTCTCTCCGGGCAGCCACAGGAGCGCGATGGCAAAAGGCCAACGCCCAGCAAAGCAAAGGACCCAGCCCTGCTTACAAGCAGGTCGCCCAGCGCCAAGCCGGCCGGCACAGCCTGAAGCTGCCCACCAGACTCTTAGGGATCCCTGCCCCGGGGATGCCAGGGAGGGACCTTTGCCCAGAGGACCTTTCTTGTTTTTGCTTATATTCTCTTCCCTGAGGTTAAAAAGACTTTTAATACATGGTATGTTCTCTGTGTGTTAGTACTTCTCTGCTACAATCAAGTTACCTTTCAAACTCTTTTTTGATAAGCTTAGCAAATTGCATTCATTCTGTCCTTCACAGTAGGGCTTTTTTTCCAGCATTCAGATAATCTTTGTGGCTTTCTTTTTACACCACCTTCATTTCTTCCACTATTATAAAGACTCTTTTCTGGGATTTCATCTGTATAATATTTACAGGTAAAATTGATCACTTTAAAGCTACTTCTTCCAGACAAGTAGATGTTGCCTTAAAATACTCAAGGCATTAAGAGGGAAGAAAGGAATCAGCTCCCATTTCACATTTCCACAGAAACTTTTCAGATCCTCAGCTATTCAGGCTGCCCAATTTGTGAGAGTGACCATATGAGTGGTGCAACTGATAAAATCAGGGAATTACTGTACAGGTCTGGTTGAAGAAATGCAGAGGGTCTATAGTGTAGTGTAACACATCCAGTGTCTCAAAACTGAAAGTATTATGCTTTCTGATACAATTTTAGTAAAAAAAATAAAGGAAATACAAACCTCCTGCAGGTGACAATCTCATGTTGAAAATGCATTCAGACCCTACGTATAGGGGTGACTGAAGGTGATTCTGAAAGTCTGGATGTACTTTGAGTTTGACCCTTCTGAGAATGAGAGCTGGCATGTTCCCTCCTTGGAACTCAAAGTCTGTAAGTGTTTTTGACAGTTTAGGCTTTCAGAGGTTTATTAGTGAGCCAGGTGAAAACTGTGCTGCAGAAGAAGGTACTGCTAAATATAATAGTTTTTCAGCCCAGAATATAGAGGCTTTGCTACACAAAGGGCTACTAACAGCAGCCTGGTGTAGAATATAAAAAATGCATCTAAAAACTTGATAAAATCAGCCACAAAAATTCACCAACTAAACAACCAAATCATTACAAAAGTCATTTGGATAAGGGGCTGAAAAATCCTAAGCAGAAAAACAGGAACGATGGGAATTTGAAAGGTTGGGCTATCACTACAACAATGTGAGCACTACACAGCAGCTGCAATCAACAAAGGAAGCAGAGCTACTACTTGCTCAAGTACTTTATTGACAAGCAAGACATAGGTCATTAGACACTGAATGTGATCCTTTACCCAGCTGCCATATTGTAGTATGACATTTCATTTCAGAGCAGAGAACTGGAACTATTTTGCTAGTCCTCTTTACCCAGTATCAGTTAATTGCATCGTCCTCCTTGGCTGCTAAACCTGCTATCTTTTTCATGGAGATCACCTGGAGGTTTTTTCACTTACCATAAGCTTCAGGACAGGCTCCTCTCTCTTACTTCAGCTCAGTCAGTGGGAAAATCCTTTCTTGGGTCACAAACCACTACCAAACTGAAGATGACTGTCGTAAGGCAGTTGGTTTGCTCTCCACCTGAGCCAGAGTACTGAGTTAGGATGAGTTTAAACCTGGACCAGCATGATAATATAGAGAAATACTCATTGTTTCATCCAAATCCACTCAGATTGGCTGGTATGGTATCACAGCAGAAAGCACTCAAACAGGTACACACATGCACACAGATGCACTGACAGAGGTCCTCAAAATTCTAATGTATTTAACTGCCATGGTATAATAAGATATAACACTCTACATTCGACTGAATCTGCAGCAGAAATGTAGTGAATGGCAAATCCAAAAGCAGTGCTCTTTTCCCTGTCAAAGGACAGGGGGGATCTGCTACAAATAAGCAGTGGTGCTGGGGTGCTGGCCAGGCATCCTAACCAGGTAGACAGTGCTGGAACATGCCTTCTCTTTCTGGCCTTCCCTTGCTATCATTCCTGTAGGATCTGTGCTCTCTGCTTCCCCACTGCACCCTTGTGGCAACTGCAAGGTTGGCCTTGCAGGTACTTTTCTCATCCATTTTGATCTATGCATGTAATTTAGTTACAGGTTTTAAAAAGAAATATTCCTTCTTATTATGTCATCCATGAAACAATTCATTTATTCATAATAACTTTGTGTGTATTTTCTTGACAGTCCGGCAATGTTCTTATCTTTAACATATTTATCAAACATAAGGAAAATTGGGTTCTTTTCCACTCATTATTTAAAAGATTACTCATCCCCTGTGTGAGAATTTTAAAGAAAATCCACAAAACACAAATTTTTGCTTAACTTTTAGTTTGGTCTTCCAAAATAGAAGTACAATATTTGTCTAAAATTAGATTATTCAGAAGACAGTGGCAACAAATGTATTTTTATACTTGGAGTAATTAGTATGTTTTACATCCACACTGCAACAGCTGGTTTAGTCTGGCATTATAGTTTTTCCAGAGCTGTTGAGGGATTTCTTTAGCACAGTAGGATTTGTGTTGATTACTGCTGCACTTTTTTTAGTGGTTTTTATTCTTGGGGTTTTTTTTCTTATCTTGATTCTGAAAGTTCTAGCCATTTGGGGTATTACAAATTTTGGTACGTTTATACTGTAATTCCAGTACAATAACAAAGAAGTCAGACTTTCACAGACTTTCATGCACACACACACAACATAAACACACACATACACAAAAGAACTTGCAACTCATTTGCTGGGATCCTGAATTTGAATAAATATAAATATTTAAATTCTTTAAAGACAGGGTAGGGTGAAAAGGCGATTTTGGTTCTAAAATGCCTCAAAAAAGACCAAGAAAACCTCAAAAGGCTCCAAAACGACCTCAAAATCCTGATGTAATAAAATTGACTATAATTGGCTAAACTTGAGTAATAAAGGCAATATATAAATTATTGAGCAAAAGTAGAGGGTGAAAAGGTGATTTTCATCCTAAATGCCACAAAAAGGACACAAAATCCATTCAAACCCCCCAGAAATTCAAATAAAATTGACTATATTTGACTAAATATGAGTAAGTAAGGTGATATTTAAGTTATACTTAAAAAAAGGGGGGGTTGGAAAGTGATTTTGGCATTAAAATGCCCTGAGTAAATATGAATATCCCTCTCTACTCTACGTGTGAATAAATAGGAATAAATAGGAAAAATTAGGGTGATATTTAAGAAAGGATTAAAAGTGTTTTGGGCACCAAAATGCCTCAGGAAAGACCCAAAACGCCACAAAAACACCTCAAAAAGCCCCAGCATTTAAATAAAACTAAGATAGAATAAATAGAAATAAATTAGACTATTTAAGTTATTTAAGAAAGGGGAGGATGAAAAGGCGATTTTGCCCTTGAAATACCTTAAAAACGCCTCCAAAAAAACTCAAACCCCCTTAGAAATCCTCCCAAATTAAATAAATGTTGAATTAATATTAATAAATTAAAGCAGTAGTATTAAAAAAACATGGGGTAAAGATGCTTTGGGCACTGAAACGCCTCAAGAAAGCACCAAAAAGCCCCCCAAATGCTAATAACTGCATTTCAACTAATTAATAAACACTTAAGTTTTAGGGTTAATTAGTTTAATTAGGGTAGAAATTCAGATAAAGCGTTTAAAAGAGAAATTTGGCTCCAAAATGGGGCAAAAAAGCCCTGAAACCGCATTTAAACGGAACAAATTTAATCAGAATGAAAGAACCTGAGGTAAAAGATGCCTGTAATTGAAAAAATTTGAGGCAATTCACCTTAACTTGAGGAAAACCGGGGGTTAAAAGGCGTTTTTAGCCCTAAACCCCCTCAGAACACCTGAAACCCCTCAAAAGACTCAAAGCTCCCCCAAACAGCCGCGATTAAAACTAATTAATTGATTAAGTAATTAAATTATTCCCTCAGTGGATTAAATTAAGGCAACGAATTAAGTCACTACATGGGCTCGAAACAGGTTCCAAACCCCTTCGGATTTCCCCGACTAAGCCCCCAAGCCGCCTCAAAACCCTCCGCGGCGCCAACTAACGTCTTAATGAGTATCTTACTCAACCCCACGAGCGATGGTAACTTATTAATTTTGCTAATTAATTACATTTGGTAATTAACCTCCACCCTACCTTGCCCGCCGCCGCCGCCACCCCGCAGCGGCACGGCACGCCCCGCGCCGCCCTTTATATCACCTCGGTCGCTCCCCTCCCATTTCCGCCCGGGGCCAATCAGCGCGCCGCGCGCCCCAGCACACCCCGCCCACTGGGCAGGGAGGTGCCTTCCCGGGTTTTCGGTGCTCAGCCAATCAGCGCGCGGCTGCCCTTAGCAACTGGACAGCGCCGGGAGCCGCCGTGGCGCTGACCAATCAGCGCCGACTTTGCGGAGGCGCGCGAAGAGCTAAGCTAATGGGAGCACCGCGCGCCTCACGCCGGTGGCCAATCAGAGTGCGGCGGCCGGGAGGGAGGAAGGCAGAGAAACGGCGGCAAGCAGCGGCTGGGCGGACAGATGGAGGGACCGCCGGGGACACCGAGGGACCCAGGAGGACATCTCGCCGTTTTTGGGGGCTCCAAAGCTCAGGAGCTTCAGCGCTGCCTCCTCCCGCCCCCCCCCGCCGCTTTTCGTCTTCAGCGCGCGGCTTCACCACCCCGTGACACGCTTGCCATAGATGGCTATATTTGCATGAAGGGGCGTGGTGCCGTCCACTGGCGGGCAGCCTATCTGTGGTTTTTTTGCATAAAAGAGAGCCGGGTTTGTCGGCACCGCCGAGGGCTTTATAGCGCCCTGTCACTGACCCACAGGAACCCTCAAGGACAGCCTGCTGCCCCGTAGGGACCCCTCAAGGGCACCCCAGTACCCCACAGATGCCCCAAAACATCCCATAGAGACCCAGAGGTGTCCCATAGCGACCTCCAAAGCCACCCGAGTGTCCCATAGTGACCCCCAAGTGACCCAGAGTGACCACATAAGTGCCTAGAGGGACCTTTAGAGACCCCCAAGTGCCCTACAGAGAGCTCCAGGCGACCTATAGGGACCCCCAAGTGCTCCACAGAAGCCCTCAGGGACCCACAAGTGACCACCAGACCCACATCCTGCTCCATAGTGACCCCAAGCATCTCAGAGAGACCCATAAGTGACCCCCGATTGACCCATAGAGACTCCCAAGTGCCCTACAGGGACTTTCAGGGACCTCCAAGTGCCCCCTAGGAACCCCACCCCCCGTCATGCCCCCTTGACTCACCAAGGGTAAACAGACAAACCCCTCAACACCATCAGAACCTGCACCCACAGGGGAAAAGGTTAAAAAATACAGTAGACTCATAAGACCATGACAAAAGAAAAATTGTGTATGCAAAACTGTAAAACACAGAGACAGAAAAAGCATTTTATTGATGAAAAACATGGAGGACCAGGAAAAATCGAAGTCACAGCTGGTGTTCCTGGATAGAAAGGACAAGGATTTTGTGGATAGTGGGATCCAAATACCTTCTCCCCTGTTAGGACGCTGCAAAAAACCCTAAACATATTCAGACACAACACCACCACAAGATTCCTAAACAACACACTGGCAAAAAGCCTAAAGGAGCAGGTCAGAAACAGAGAACGAACCAATAATCGGCCCATGATTACTACAATCCCAGGGCATAAAGAAATTGGAAAAAAATTCTAAAAAGAAACTTCCCCACTATCCTCACCTCCATGAACCCATCTAACTTCAACTGGTCTCACCCCAGCGACGCACGGCGCAGTCCCACCTGCTGCTGGGAGCCAGGCCCTCTGGGCAAAGGCAGCTGGGCATGATAAGCAGTGGCCCAAGAGGCTGCCACCCTGCTTACAGGGGGCTCCAGCACGGGCACACGCCCAGGCCCTGCCTACAGGGGGATCGAGGTGCCTGTTATTTACATTTGAGTAAGCAAAACTGCAGTTCCTCTGTCCTCTGGTAGTAGTGGTGGAGGCTAGGGAAGGGTGAGTGCAGTTCACTGAGCCTCTTCCACTGTAGGTGGGAAAATAGGGAGAAAAGGTTTGTAAGAAAGAAGAATAAACAGTAATTCACAGCTTCTGCAAAAAGGGGAGTGAAAAGTGTGGAGACAGAAGTAGAGGAAGGCATAGAATATTATAAATTCATTAGAAGTAAAAACAAAAAAAAGAGGGACAGAAAAGCAACTCCAGTGTTACACAGACAAAGGAAGGCCAAATTTCTGTCTGTTGTGTATTTATATCAGCAAACCATCAAAGACTGTTTAATATAACATAAGGAATCTTTTGTTAGGGAAAAAAAAAAGTGAAGATAAAGCCCCAAGAAACTTCTTGCTTGGTTTATTAAAGTAAAAAAACCCCAAATTACTACTTATTTCAGCTGGAATAGGCCCACAAGAAATTTGTTGCTAGAAAGGAAGTACCACGGGAATCACATTCATAACCAAAAAACTAAAATTTCCAGCTAGTAATGCAGAGTAAAAAGCAGTAACAAGAACTGTGACCATTATGGTATTAAAAATTCACTTTTGCAAGAGAGTTGTACAGAATGCTCTCTCAGAGAGGAAAGAAATTTAATTGTCCTAACTTCCCATGAAGTGCATATGGCCCAAGTGATTTTGTTGTAGCTGCTACTGAGCATTTCCATTGGGATACAGTTTAATTTACATTTGTAAAGATCCCCTTTCAACAGAGGCTTTTATGGTGCTTAGAATGGTATAACCTTGGTTAAAGGTCCAAGTTTTATACGTGTAGAGCGAAGCTCAAACATTTAGTAAGATGTGTATAAGCCACCTTCTACCAGCCATTAATGCTTGACATCAAGAAAGGGGAAATTCCACCCAATCTGAGATCTGCGTTCAACGCCGGGACAGTCAATGTCCAAATTCTTTAATGGATATCTGATTCTGCAAGTTTTTTACCGTTTCAAGTCAGGCTTTGATGTTTCCTGGTTCTCTATGGAGGACGCGGTCGCAGCTGGGGGTGCTGAGCGGGGCTGACCACGGTTCCTGACAGGGATAGTTCTTCCTCTGCTGTGTTCGGTGCATTTGACAGTGACATCTGGTGACCAGTTTAGTTAAATGCAGGTTCGTACTTCAGGGCTCGTTTCTGTCAGCTCTTCTTTACCTTCAGTGTGGTAAAAAGTCCATCTGAAAGCAAAGACTTGGCAAAAGCACTGTAGTTTCTCCATTTACGGACTTTAGGTTCCTCTTTCCTCCTCTCACTGTTCCCAGCTGGATGCTTTCCAGAATGGATGTAGCCAATTGGACTAGAGCTGCTTAAGGTTTTCAGTCTTTACTGAAGCCTCTGCATTTTGCTTTTATCACCTGTCTAGAAGCAGAGGAAAATCCCCAAACATTTGTAATAATCTTCCCGCTTACTTTTTGTTTATACTGAGATGCCTGGAAGTAGGAATCTGCTCATCTCTTGTTCTGGTGAGCATGACAGAGAAGGCTATTCCCAATTTCTAAACTAGAACACAAATCTCATGAAAAGGATGAAGAAAATGTAAACCAGGAGAATAGTGTTCCAACATTGCTATCTGATATACAGGTGTTTGTTCCAGAAAGAGTGTTCACCAGATAGGGAGAGTGTGGATAAAGGCACACCTAGGTTATAAGGAACCTTCTCATTCAAAAGGGAGTGGGCATCCCTTTGCAGGCTGTTCAGAGCCTGCATGCAGTATCTGCATAGGCCCCCCTCCTGCTCACTGACTCATCTTGCCTGTTTCTCGGTCAAGCTGGGAGAAGAATCTTGCCTTTCTCTAAGTTTAATCAATAAACTGTTCATGCACTGCAGGAATGGAGCAGCTTGTCCTTTAAGGCCTGTTTTATGTTGCTTCTCATTTTATGGGATGAAACAAACAGTGTCAGATGTACAAGGCTTGAGTGCAGCATCAGACCTGAATGTTCCTGGGTTTGAGATCTGGTCTTAAACCGAGGCATTCCTAAAGTTCAGGTTCATCCAACGAACATGAGTTTATTCTTCAAATCAAGATTTTAGTCCATGTCTATCTGTGTCACTGGTACTTGAGCTTGCAAACTTCTAATTTGATATTATTTATCCCTTTCCCCCTTTAAAAGGGGTAGGGCTGGGGGTGTAAACCCAACAACTTTCCATACATTTTAATTCTTTTCTGAAGTAAAGAGCAGAGCGTTACCTATAAGCAGCCCTGATGGTCCCTAGTGGTACCTGCTTTGGCACCATATTATTGTCTTACTATTCACCATACAGCTTTTGCCTTTTTCTTTACTGTCAACTTTATGTAATAGGGCCCTGACTCCAGCAACAAAATGCTTGTTTATAACTGCAGGCCTTTGCATTGTTGAATTTCCTTCCGTCTCTGTAACTGCACCACAGGGCTGTGCAATTCTTTTTGCATGAAAACTTGTTCTCCATGATTGGCATTATCTTTCTATTCTGTGTTACCTGAGTCTTCAGTACGATGCACTTTCTTGGACTATCTTCTCCTTGGACCAATATTTTTATTAAAATATTAAGCAGAACTGGGACTGACAGAGACTTCAGAAAGCACACCCCTTTTCTTCCCAATTGTACAAACAGTTGTAATCTCTTCTTAACTATCCAATAGTTGTTCTTTTAATCTCAATTTTTTCCACCTTAATAATTAATCTCCCTTGAGGCAGTGAAAGCAATTCTTCATTTAAGTCTACTGAGATTAGTTCCAATACACTGAGCATGTCTAAAAAAGCAGTTATCTTACTGAAGACACTATAGATTACCACAATCTAGTGTGACAAAACCATGTGGCATTTTATCACAGTTTTCATTTACCTCTCTGACCTAGATTTCTCATTCTATAGTAATGGTACTGAAGTCTTGTAAAATGTCAGTTTTATCTTCTCACTTGCTCCTTTTAAAAATGCATACAGCATATTTTTCGCTGTGAGTCATAGGGTATTGCTGTCAAATTATAGGAACAAATATCCTATCTGCTATACCAGTGATTTTTTTTACGCCTTTGGATGGAGACAATCTACCCCTTAATTTCAGTTTTGTTGTTATTGTCCAAATTTTGGTAATACATAAGATGTGGTAAATGCTTCACTGCCATGAGATGCCCTACTCTTATTCTCATGAATGTAATAATCCCTACTGTAAACAGAAGAAAAGCTGTACTTAATTTCTAGGTCAAACTAAATCGTCCTTTGCCTCCATTGCATCGTGACTGGGTAGAGGCCTCACTTCTTTGCGCTTTAGCCTTTCT